AAAGGGTACACACTACAGAAGAGAGGGGACAATACATGGAGAAGAGGATACAGTGTACATGGACAATACATGGGGAACACCGTGTACAGGGAAAACGGTACACATTACAGAAGAGAAGGGTCAATACATGGAGAAGAGGATACAGTGTACATGCACAATATATGGAGAAGAGGATACAGTGTACATGGACAATACATGGAGAACAGTGTGTACAGGGAAAAGGTTACACACTACAGAAGAGAGGGGTCAATACATGGAGAAGAGGATACAGAGTACATGCACAATACATGGAGAACAGTGTGTACAGGGAAAAGGGTATACACTACAGAAGAGAGGGGACAATACATGGAGAAGAGGATACAGAGTACATGGACAATACATGGAGAACAGTGTGTACAGGGAAAAGGGTATACACTACAGAAGAGAGGGGTCAATACATAGAGAAGAGGATACAGTGTACAGGGATAATGCATGGAGGACATATGGGTACATACATCCTATAATTATCTAATAATTATATCCTTTATGAAAGATACTCACAATGTATATATATGACGTAACAGGAAAGGTACTTATGACGTCACAGTTGATCGTATCACCTGACTGAAACAAAGGAGAGCAATAAATGATGTATTCAATGCAAAAAGAGGCTAAATGACAGAGATCACAAATAAATCAGAACCCGTTTTAAATTGGTGCAGTTTCAGCTAAGCAAGAAATTTTCCTCGTCAAAATCTCGGAAAGCTGCCGTAAACGGAAGTGTAGGTTCAGGAATTTGATTTTCCAACGGGAAAAAATATCGAGCGAGAATAGACCTTTTACTCAAGGTTGTGCACTCATCCATATTTAAGTAACTTGACGGGCCAAGATACCAGAACAGGAGATTTATAATGAGAATTATCATACATTTCTATGAGATTTTTCGATAATAATTCATAAAATCGATTATTCTCCTCTTTAAATATAAGACTGGCTTCTCAATTTTACTGAATTTGCGTTTTTCAGTTTTGGTGGCCCGTCAAGATCGGATGCGCACGCAACCTTGCGAAAGCGGTCTCTATTGGAGCAAGTCTAAAACTGTACTGGCTTTACACTGTATCTCCACACTCCTCCCCTACACGGGGAATTCTTTCCTAAAGAAGATAGGGGTGAGTAAGAGTTTTACTCGAGTGTTCAAACCCTCACGGCTTACCTTTACTGAAGGATTACTTGTAGACAGCTGAAGAAACGAGTTACTGGGCGAATTAAATTTTCGCGCCGTAAACATTTTGGTTTCTGTGTGTTCTGCATCAACGAGATACTCAGCCTGTGGGCATAGGTAAGTAATGTGTTTAAAAAATAAATTGATAGAGTTAAAATAAATAAATCTCGTTATTTAAGCGTCTAGTCATTCTAGCGCTTTTGCATTGACTGGGGACTCTTTTCGCTCACACGCACTACCACTACATTAAATGTTCTGTGCACACAACGCTCAACTCACATGTTGATTTTTACGGAGGGAGACCACCGGAAAACCCGGAGACAACCCTTGTAGCATAGGAGAGAACAACACATCAAACAAACTGAATTCACATTTGGCGACCGCAGGGCTCGAACCAGCGACCCGACCATTGGACTCACAGCGGTGAAAGAAGAACGCAGCGTACGCCACCCATGCTACCCAGAGTTTCAAGTGTGACGTGGACAGTGCGAAAATGACTGCTGGGTTCAAAATATAGAATTTGGTACGCTGTGATTTAGGTCAGTGGGAATGGGAAATGGAAATGGGAACAGCCAGCAAGAGTTTCTTTTAGGTAATGAGGGATCTGAAGAGATAAAATGGAAACTGAGATTTGCTTCTATTTTTGCGCTAAAAAAATGGGATTTGATAAGCTAGGATTTAGGTCAGTCGGGATGGGAAATTGAATTATTGGCATGAAAAACAATCACTTGGGATGGGACTTTGACAAACGTTAGGTTAGAAAATGGAGTGGAGTCCCCTTCAAGTGATCCTGGTAAGGGACAAGGTACAGGACCTGATTCACAGGCGAAGGGTTTATGTTATTTATCATGCATCTCTGGAAGTAAAATCCTGGAGTTGTCAAATTTCTTCAAAACTGAAATTCAAATCGCATTTATGCTAAACAACGTATTTTTGTATACAGCTATTTCAAAAAAGGTTGAATACTGAATACTGAAATTTCGTTCTTAGTGATCAAAACAATGATAATGACGCACGGGAGTAGGGTAAGGCAAAATTTAAACTGCATCCGGTTACTAAAAATAGCTAACCGGGAATTTACATGGCGCGTACCACAATAAGAAGTTTCCCTCTCTTATTTATGCTCTCTTGTCAGTATTCAACCTTTTTGAAATAGCTGTAGAAGTTGTCTGCACTACGGATAATCCAGTATTGAGCAATTCAACCGTTCTCTTAGGGGAGGGGTGGAGGTATTTACTGGTACCTACCACCCAAATCAATCAAAATGGGTCTTTATTTTGAACCACTGTTTTAACCTTGTCCCAAACAGATTCCACTTGTATTCGCCCAGTTATTTTACATTACCGTTAAGCGAACGACTTGAGCCCAACTGGGAACGCTTGTTCTGACGAGTATGACACCTTTGGATGATGGAGTGTAAGCATCGGTGGATTTGTTTCCATTCCAACTGTACTGCGTCTTGATTGTAATCTTGAGTGTTTTCAGTCGGTCTGGGTGGATTGGCTGACCATCTGGTTGGGTCACTCGTAGCTGCGAATGATACAAGAAAATGTATACAAATTACCACTGTTTTCGTAGCTACGCGCTGATCGAGACAACACGCAATGCATACCATCGGTCAGAGTGCAACGAATAATTTATTTCATTGATGGCAGTGTACTGCCTGATTTCTTTGTCTTGACTGTTGCCTTGATCAGCGCGTGGCTATATAAACAGTAGTAGCTAGAGGGGTAGCTCATTAGTAGTGGGCCATTTTTCGTTTACACGCTACGTCATTTCATATCAGCCATGTTGGTGGTATTTAACAACAAATTTCTCATCAGCACCTTTGTTTATGCCACCAACGTAGCCGCCATTTCTTTGTCTTTTCATTCTCTTGGGAATGCTTGCAACCCATCAATAGAATGGTTTCATAGCAGCCACAATGAAGGGTAAAACAGTAGAAACGTTCTTCTTTGGGAAATAAGCATACAAAAATACTGGCTACACGAAAACACTCCAAAGCCCGAGGAGCGTAAGACAAATTGTGCTAATTAACTCACAGGTAGCCCAAATATTATTTCTTACTGGTGGGGAAAAAAATCCCTAAGACGGGCTAAATTAAAAAAATAACCACACAGAGTGAAAGAAGTGCTATTTCTCAATGATCGGGTAGAATTTCGAGGCTTTATTTCACGTTTCAATGATTTTATTGAAATTTTTTGATGAATCCCCATACATTTTCTTATAACATGACACCACAGAAACCAAGCTTGGGCTACCTGTGATTAACTGAACGAAAGAAAGTGTTCAAGGGATTCTGGTAGAGGTAGTAAGTGACGCTTTAACGCAAATGGCCTATTGCAAATCATTAACTTCCATATTCATTTCTTCAAATTTGGTAGCTTGACAGCTTATCTAATTCTTTTAACGTTTTCGAGATAAACCCGATCAAAACCATCTTCACAACGAGCATGATGTAACTTGACCTTGAAAAGGTCACACCATCACGTCATATACGCAGAACCGATGCGCACAAACAATGCCCACGAACTCCGGTTTGAATAAACTACACTTACCACCGTATCAAACTCTAGTCCCGCCTTGAAATTACTTGGATTGAATGTAGGGAACTCAAGCTTGACATCCGAGTAGTAGAATCGAAGACTTTGATCCCCACTGGCTTCCTTCTTAGTCAAGTCTTCAGTAACAGTTGCATTGACGATGAGCGTGTACCAGGATTCATACAAGGACTTTTCGGTTATCCAACGTGACTTGCCAAAAGTGGCAAAGAACAGTTTAATGATCTCCTTTATGTCAAAATGAAACGATGCTGTTCCATCAACCTAGGATTTATCGAAATTTGTCAAAATCAAGAGAATAAACAAGAGGTCATTTAATTGTGTATTGTGTAAGTGGCTGTGACAACTCACGCCGCACGGCACGGTCACGGTATTGAAAATCCATCGAACCAATCAGAGCCCGCGATTTAACTGTTTATCCAATCAAATTGCTCGGATATTGCACCATCATTAAAGGACAGCACGTCTGTAGACCTTTACTGAGAGAGCGAACATAAGGCATTGTGGTCTATCTTGAGTTAAATATCTTTTGTTCATCACGGCTTTATGGTGTTGTTCGTGCCCAAGCTGGACCACAATGCATCCTTCTTATCAAAACTCAAAAAAGGCCTCTGCTGCCGTATGTTTAAGTCAAATGAATTGTGTTCTATTACAAACCTTCATATGTTATTGATAATTTGAAACATGAAATGTGGCTGATCAATGTCAGGGCACAGATTTGCAATTTACCGAATATTGAATTTACCATATGGTATCCTGATTATCATATCAGAACCTGAATATCGTATGATTTGTACACACCTCAATTGCCTTCTTTAACGGTTTCCCTTTGGAACCATACGTGTTGAAATATGCTTCTATGACAGCTGTGCCTTTGACACCTTTACCATATGTGTACCTGAAAAAACAACCAAACGTAACAATGAGTTCACATGCTTATCACGTGCCATGACTATAGACTTTTTCTGAGATAGCGATCATGGTGCATTAGTGATCTAGTTTGGGAACCAACTTCTCTTGTTCACCATGCATTGTTGTTTTTACCCAAGCTAGACCACAATGCATCTTGATAGCAAACATAGTCCATAGCACATTTTTTTTTTCATCATGTTCAACTATATGGTGTGGTTCTTACCCAAGCTAGACCGCAATGCATCTTGATAGTTACCCCCCCTAATTCCCATTACATTCAGTTGTTTATCATCACTAGTGATGGCAGAACAGTTCAGACATATTCCTCTTTATACGTACTTTGACGTCACTGATCCTTGGATTTTTGTATCTTTCTTCTGAATGTACGGAGGGAGCACCACTGATGTTTCAAACTTCGGAAGAACTAAAAAGGAATTGTATTTTATCAAGAAATTGAATGCTTTTGAAAATTAAAATAGTTTAGCAATCAACTGGCAATCTGTGTCCCTTCCTCCCCCTCCCCCAACTGCTGTGTTCCACTTTCACTTTTCCTGTGTGCAGGATTTTCATCAGCTGAATAGCAAGTTTGAATTTTTCCCATGTAGTAGGACCGTCAATTGCTGTAGAACAATTGGTGCCCGCTGGGGGGAGTCCGGAAAAAAGTACAGGGGATGCTTGTCGGACATTTTCAAAAAGACCCCTAAAAGATACCGGAAGTCTTGATTTTTAACCCCTAAGAGATACCACAACAAATAATATTAAATTTTATATAAAAAGCGCCTAGGATAAGCCATATCGATGCACGCTTCTCTCCTTTTCCGACACCCTAAGAGATACCAGAAAATGCTGATTTTCAAAAATTTGCATTCAACACCCTAAAAGATAGCAGATCGCGAATTTTTATCCCTAAGAGATATGACGAGCATCCCCAGTACTTTTTCCCCGGAGTCTTCCCCCGGGAATTGGTGATACAGAAGTACAAAGGTAATAGAACATACCATATTCTTTGACCTCAAATGTTTTGTCAAAGGTTTCATCCTGGAGATAAGTGAAAAAAGCAAATCACTGGTTGTTACTTGGTCAAGCAATTWAGTAATGTAAAGGCTACCATATCGCATCAATTCCCCATTTTCATTACCCCACAATGCTTTAGTTTTTGGGGGGTTACCGTTCAAAACACTGTCATAAAACGAAATGTCCGTCAATCGAATAAATACTATAACTTCTCTTATCTTTAAAATATTAAACATCAGTTTGTTCTGAGTCAATTTCCTACATTCAGAACATCAAGAGGTTTGGCGTTACAAAAAACAGTCTCAGATGTATTCAGATAAAGAAGTGCTCATATCTTATACTGTATAAAATAATTGCTCGTAGTAAATGACATCATTCTTCCAATAATTTGTGCGATTTTTTGTTTACACTCTAAAATCACAATGCATAATGGGGAATATGACAGTGGCCAATAAATAACTCTATGATATTAGCAAGATGGGAGGGGGGCAGCAACCAACTCGCCAGCCTCTCTCTCACCATGGTCTGTAATCAGTGTTGTGATTGGTGGCTAGTGAGTGTTTGTTAAATATTTTCATAGACATATAGTTGGAAAGCAATATTTTGATGTCTTACTCTAGCTTTAACAGACACCTTCCATGTTCCCATAACAGGTTGAGATGAAATGGGAAAATCTTTTTTTATGACTCCTGAAATAAGAAGAACAAGATATAGAAGCGTTTTATTATTGCTCAAGAAAATAGTATTTATTTTTTTATAGTACACTCAACAAAATTACTCGACTCTGATTGGTCGAGAGGAGTACAATTATAGCGTTAATTGTACTCCGTAGGAGTACCGAATTAAGTCGCTATGGCAACACGGCCAAAACATGGCAAAACAATTATTTTCTATCATTTTGTACTTAAAAAACATATAAATAAAATTTTAAAGCCATAAGAACTAATCTTTTTTATGCATTCCAGTTACGCGATGGACTGAAAATCGGCCGCCAAATAGACAAAGATGAACGGCGTCGCTTCGCATTTTTTACTGAAATTTTGTTGAGTGAACTATAAATAAAAAATCGCACGATCTTCTCGTACAATTTGGAATTAATAGACACTCGTAATGTTTTGAAAGTTCTTTAATTGCACTCGCCTAAAGGCTCGTRCAATTACAAGAACTTTCAAAACATTACTCGTGTCTATTAATTTCCAAATTGTACTCGAGATCGTGCGATTTCCTATACAAATAGCTGTCATAAATCTCACTTTCTAATTGGTTTGGAGCTAATGCTTTCCACACCGCGCACAAAGCATGAGTGGACAAAATGACTAGTCCTAAGCATTTTTCAAGTTTGAAAGAGCGAAGCCAGAAATGTGACGGAAAAGTGAAATTATTTTTATTCTTCCTTCCATATTTCTGCTTTTTGTAGGCACGTATATTATATTTTAGTCAAAAGAAAACAGAAAAATATGCAAAAGTTGCAAAACATCTAAAAGCACTGTGAATTGGCTGAAACAAAATTCACCACTAGATTGGTTATCATAGCACAAAGCATGTCTCCACACTCTGCTACATACGATGCCTCTCCCACTACTTCTCTGGTGTTATGCAATATTTCCAGGGCTTTATAACTGCACCCATCATCCATATATATATAACACCTACCATATGGTCCTTGAATGTTTTCCCAGTGAGCCATCTTATTGTCATTGGGATCCTTTAAAATAACACAAATATTTGACACTGATTACGAAAATTAACACCCTTAAAAAACATTGAATTTTATCAATACCCTGAAACATTATAAAGCTGATCAAAGTCAGGTAGGCTTAACTTTAGAGTGTTAGGTTTTACAGAGGGAGGAAAACCAGAGAATCTGACCTGAAACCCAAGAGATGAGAGGCAAGTTCACTACCGTTATGCCACTTTTCATCCCTAATATGCTTCTTATCTAAAGCAAATTTTCTCTTGTTCCAGTTTACTCAGAGGGCAAAATATCAGGACCCCTTCAGAAATGTTTTGAACTAATGRAAAAAAATGTGCCACACCATTTTTCCCCTGAGTAAACAGCAACAAGATAACATTAAGGTGCTGACACACGGTGCAACATTGCACGCAACAGGACTGATGCAGCGGGTGTCTACCCCAAACTTGTTGCACTCAACATTGCAAGCAAAATCATGCAACATCGCTTGTGTCAGCCTGCTATGTTAAGATATTTGGTCAGCAGTTATAAATTTGGTGCAAGCTGATTGCCTGAAAATTTCAAAATATTGCAGGTAATGTTGTAACCATGTTCACATGATGAAATTTGTTGTGTGCAATGTTGCAATAGTAGAGCGTGACTCAACTTCAGGTTTGTTGCATGCAACGTTGCGTACATCTCGTTTGGGGTAGACACACGGTGCAACGATTGTGTAACAGTCCTGCTGCGTGCAACGTTGCATGCAATGTTGCATCGTGTGTCAGCACCTTTAATTTGCATTAACAAAGTAGTGTATTAACCATTATTTTTTTCCCTAATGATCTATGCCCACACCCCAAAGTCCAAAACACTGTTGTTATTGCATGTTTTCACATTATTTTATGCTCACCAGGATATCAACTGTCATCTGAAAAAAAGAAAAAGATGTTATTACAAAAAATCTGACAAAATTAAGGAAAATTATGATTCACTTTTATCCAACCTTATCAAGATATGTTCTCAGGCTTGGCAGCAATGCAAATATTCTCATGTGAACTGGAGAAAAAAAGAAGAAGAATGATAAGTTCTCTATTTAAATAGTTAAGATATGCCTTAAAATCCTAGTTACAAAACTCTGGCCTTATACTTATGCATTTATAAAGGCTAGATATACCAGAGATGCACTTTTTTTCATTATATTTTTTTAATTCAAACTCCAAAAATCAGCCTCCAGAGGTGGGCTTATGCTAAGGGGTGTCTTATTACAACAACAATGAAAAACCAAATTTCATAATATTTGCATGATACTAAGAAATCCCTTTGAGCAATATACATCAAGCTAAAACGCATATAATATGACAGGTTTATTAGAAAACAATAATATTGTAGAGTGCTTACCAGTTTGTCCAGGTTTATAAATGCCTTTGTCCATTTGCACATAGATAGTCATTGCCTTCTTTTGGAACTGGATGCTTGATTCATTGTGGAATGTAAGACCGCCGGAACCATTGACAAAGAAACTGTATCGGCTGTATGTCAAACCAGAAGGAATCTGATGATAAAAAGGAAAACAAAAGGTTATTTACTCTTTAATTTGTAAGTAGCTAATTAATGAAAGAAATAGGAATAGGAATAGGATATGTTCTTACTTTGATGTTCAGATCTTGTGTTGTTCCTGAGAAGACAAAAGAAGATTACTGTACGTGTAAAGTATAGTGTTACTCATTTGTGAATGTTCTCTGAGGTGGAGAAAATGGAAGGGAATTGAATAGACAAGAAAGGGGAGGGGGGAAGGGCATTGGAATTATGGAAAGGAATCAAAATAACAAAAGGTAACAAGAGAAAAGGCAAGAAGAGGATATAGGAAGAACAGATAGGAAAAGAGAAGGAAAGAGAATGGAAGAAAAGGGATGGGAATTAGAGAAGTCATGAAATGAAAAAAGAGGAACAGATAAGAAAGAAAAGAAATGGAAAGAAAAGGAAAGGAAAGAATAGAGCAGAGCAGAAATGAATAGAACAGAGGATAAATAAAAAGAATTAGTCAAATCCAACAAATGGTCTATCATCAATGCTGCATTCTGATTGGATGAGCTAGTACTAGGCTACTGAGTTATATCTTACTGGAAGTGAAAAGTGCCACCAAAATTTAACTTTAATTCAAAACTTGTTTGCATCCATATATTTTACTCGCCCTCATGGCCCAATGAATCATGATCAATAGCCCATTCTCGCTCGAGGACTAATTGCTAAACAGGTTATTAGCAGATATACTTACCAACAGTAAATGTACCAGTATTATTGGTAATAACTTTGATATTGGGAAAATATCCCATTCTTATCCCTGCATGTACAATGACTGGGGCTGTAGCCTTCAAGATCGTAACCTTCAAGGTAAAAGTACTTCCTGGACGAAAGACATTTGGAGCCAAAATGAGGTAGGAACTGAAAATACACAGAGACAAAATACTAAATATCCATCAAATGTTTCAGGCCCGTCGCTAGGGGTGGTTCGATAAATAGTTCGAATGAACCCCCCTCCCCCCATACAAAATATACAATAAGATTCATTATTATATGACCGTGAATCTTAGAGCCTGGACACTAGCAAATCGAGCAATCTGATTGGATAGATCACMTCGCGGACTGGTCTAGATTCTCCGGAATTAACCGGTCCGATCACATATTAATCTTATGGCGAAAACATTTTGTCCTTTTCAATGAAAAGTGGTCATATAATAAAACTGTTATCAACCGAGCTTGGTTGGTCTGTACGGAATAATCTTGACCTCGGTCGGAATGTACAGACCGAGTGCAGCGAATGTACATTCCGACCTCGGTCAAGATTATCCCGTACAGACCTCCCGCTCGGTTAATAAGATCTAAATAACAACTAGTTTTTACAACTAGTTTTCTTACTGAATAAAATAAAGATTCAATAACTCAAATAAATGTTTTTCAAGATATAACATAACTAGACATGACATAACTAAGAATGGCAGAAAAATGAACCTCTTCTTTTAATGTCCTAGCAACAGGCCTGCATTTTTAAAAATTTGATAAATAATAATACATCACAAATATCCCTTAATAATTTGAGGGTTGGTTGGTGGGGGCTGTGACAACTGTTTATTGCAATTTTGTATACTTGGGATGGTAATAAAGTCTATCATATCTTACCCTTTCTACATGTCATGGCATGAAAACRAAAATATTTGTTCAATATGAACCCATTTATTAATTACCCTTATTTAAGGTCATTAAATACTACTTACATACTTTGCTTTTATTAAAAAACTCGTAAATACAGCAACGGGGTCAAAATATTGTATAAAATAATAATAATATTATTAATTATAAAATATTATCTGTGAGATTATTATCTAAAATATGTATAAAAGATATAACCTAACTGGGTCAATATCACCAATGATATATAGCTACTTCAAAAACCCTAGCTAATTAACTATACTTGAATATATTGGATTTCAATGTTATTTATTATAAGCAATAAGTTTTTATTTGATAAATGATCATGGATGGAGTAATATCAGCAGATCAAATTCGTATCTCTGCGTGCCTATGTAATATCCTCTATGTATGCAGGCTTCTTCTGTTGCCTTTCCATGCATTGGTCTAGTAAACTTTTAAAATTATATAAGTAAAAGTGTATTCATTAACCCATCCAGTGGGTGTAAAATGGTGTGCAATCTAAGCGCAGTTGAGATTTATGTATTAAATAAATCATTATGATTAATATGCATGCTGCAGCTATAAATAGATGTCACTTCCAGTCCTGCATTAAATTATTTATTACCATCACAACGTTTTAAATGAAAAACCTATATAGGTGATGGCTGACGTTTTAAATGAAAAACCTATATAGGTGATGGCTGACCATGGATTGAAGCATGCATGCAGTGTTCATCCCTGTGTGGTCACTGGTCATACTCGAAACAGCTAAATGATGATAGTCAGCTGCAAGCTATTAATTCATACTGTCAAACTCATTAATAATTCATGAGGAAAACACAACAGAAATCATGACCGTGAAGAGTGTTGTAAATCTGATACAAAATTTTCTTGGCCAAGCATGTCTCTGTAATGTATATAAACACGCGAGCTGTAGAGCAAGAGAGAAGCAACCTTAAGGAACATGATAGAGTCATAGCCAAATGTTTCTCTTGCTTCTTCTCAAGTGCTCTCAGCTCCCAGAGTATTTATATATATTGACACAGTACAGAGACATAAGCAGCTGTTTTATACTGCTTTTATAAAATATTTTTGAAGGGTTTTGCACCAGCATATCTCGGTCCTCTGATATAAACATGATAGCCAGCCAATCAGCGTGCATGTTATTATTTCAAAATAAAAATTGGTAGTTAACTGTCAAATAACCTACACATTAACTAATACAACAAAATTCTCAACCAATAAGAGAGCACATAGCAATTAGGCAATTCAATTTATAAAATAAGTACATATGTGGCTTATTTAAACTAATATATTAAAGTAGGGGGTATTATTGGATCATCAATCTTAATGGAGGTCAATTTGTAGAAAGATGTCAAACCAACCTCGTTGAATAAGAGCATATTTATGTAGCCAATTAAAAACAGGGGGGGGAAATACTAGAATAAGATAATTTTTAATACCGTAACTGCTGGAGGGATAGGCACATTGCAAGCTAAGATCATGCAAACTAGTATATATATCTACAACTAAATAGGATTAAAGGACTTGCGTGTTCACAGATAATTCGATAATATATCTAAAGCCATCTCTAGCCTCCTAAATCACGCATCTGTATAGTACTATACTACTTCTAGCAAATAAAATATTTATGTCAACTCTTAACAATAACAAAGCTAGCTAGCCCGCATAATATGGTTGAGATAGAATCATTTCTAATGACTATTTGCAGAATGTAAGAAGAATTGTAAAAGAATATTAATCAAAGCATCGCAAGTGGAAAAGATAAATTCTCTAGATGCTTTAATTAATGCAAAATATGATAACTGATAAGTCAACTTTATTGTTCGAAGTCTGTAGCTGGAGAAGACTTCGCGGCCGCATGTTGGAAAGAACGTCGACATTGCAACTCGATGAAAAAATTTAACCCTTGATAAGATTGTGAAAAAGCGTATCTAGTTTCCATTCATAGGTTATTGCTTACCTGTTTTCTTTGCTTGAACTGCTAACCCACGTAAAGGAACCACACAGAAAAGCGAAGAAAAATAATTGTGTCACAGTGTTCATGGTTCGTTGTTAGCTTTAAGCTGGTAGTAAATCTTCGATACTTTGCCTTCTTTTAACCTTCCAAACACCTTTCCTGTTGAATATTCTCCTATCCAGCTTAGGTATAGAATATATGGAGAACTATCAGTTGATCATTACAGCTCGAGGATAAATTTAGAGCTTATGTACCGCCAAACCGCTAATATAAGGGACTGAAAAACAAATCAAGTGACGTCACAGGTGCCCGCATGATTAATCTATGGATGGCTGAGACTCAGCAGGGGCTGATGAAGGAGCGAGGGTAAGGTGGGAGAGCGTTTAAAAGGGTAGGAAATGTGCCCATCCATTTGAAGAAGGGAATAAAAAATAATTGGTTGAAGTCGTAGAGCCTTTTTATGGCTGTCATTGATATAAATTTAAGTGCCTGATTCTTGCATTGCGTAAAAGAAAGAAAGAAAGAAAGAAAGAAAGAAAGAAACGTGGGATACGTTTAGTAAAACTATTATATAGATAGGATAGTACGCGCGCGCTGATTGGTCGAAAACTGTGCTTCATTAGTGAACGGAGCACAGTGCTGGTGCCATCCGCGATCGCGAGGTTCTGCTATATCCTGCGATCTTCTTTCTTTTTCCGTAAATAAATTTAATACCGAAATAAAATTAGTAACTATATGATAAAACGAATAAAACTTTTTCCGTGCTCCGTTATAAGAAAGCACTTAGAAAGCGCCGTAAACACTCAAAAAGTGTGAGAAGCACTCGCCTACGGCTCGTTTTCTCCACGCTGCGCTCGTGGTTCCACTTGAGTTTGGATCATTTCTGACGTCATTTCATTTTCGATTACAGTACAGACCCATAAAAAACTGACTTCGATTTGTTAAATATACAACGTTACAGAAGGGTAAGACCATTTTTCCACTTCTGCAACTTCGCCTTACAACAGTTGTAGGTATAGACAGCCTCTTCCAAAGCTCAATGTCAGCGGTTGGTTCCGCTACAGACGGGGTTTGCACCATCTATGACGTACAAGCTGTTCCTCGGTACTTACTAAGAGCGAAACGTAGACTCTGGGGATAAGATTGGGCGGACCTGGCTACACCTAATAAATGCACCTTCGAGCCTTGGGAGCTGTCAGGGATGTGATCTTTGATTATGGCAGCGGATTGCTTGCGCACGGCCATATTAAGATTTTTTTTAACTGTAATATTTCTTGTTGATATTTATTTCCAATTTTCATATCAAAGAAAGGTTTTCATAATTACTTAAATAAGATTTTATCAACATATACATGCTAACTTCCTTTTATATTAACAATATATTCCAATATATTTAAATGTTTATTTTACTCTTGATGCTATTCATGGGGATATTTACTCAACCGATGCAAAAATTCTTCGTGTTTTTCGTGTACTTTTCCCCAAAGTTCCTGACCTTTGACCTTCTTAAACCAGGCTGAAACACGCGGCCACAAGCCAATATCGAAGTCCAGCCACTCGCACTGGCAAAGAATAGTAGCAGCATAACTGTCTGCTATAGTGAGGTCCTTGCCGCATAAAAATGGGGATTTCTTCAAATAAAAATTCTCCATAACCTCCAAGTGCTTTGTCAGTTGCTCAGCCGCCTTTTCGACCATTATTTCGGTGTCATCGTGTGTTTTAAGGTGATACTTTTCGAGAAAATGTGGATAGACGTATCTGTAACCAAGAACCCTGAAAAATAAAAATTGAAGCCAACAATGAAGCCAATAAGGTTGGTACCAATGTAGAGGCAGCACGGTCACGGTACTAAATAGACGACATTTGAACCAATCACATGCAGCGCTTGCATTGCTTATCCAATACAACACAGCAACGTGCTCCCAGGACGTGGTTCCTGACTGGCTATCACAGGAGTGGGAAAGAATTAGCGTAAAACGAGAGCAACCCCTGGGCAGATTAAAGTCAGATCAAACCTGAAACAATCTCTGGCCTGATCAAAGTCAGGGCACGGCTAAATCACGGATCAAACCCGTTTGGCTTGTTAGGTGTTGCGACTAGCGTAAGCTCGGTTTTATTTATGATAGAGGAATTCCGAATTTTGATACGAACCTGTGAAGACTGCAGCAAGCCCAGTTCATGACCGACAAAACATTAGCTCTGTCTCCCAACGTCTTGCCCCAGCCAGAATAACTAGTGTACTTATAGGCCAAATATCTTAGAATCGCTATTCTGCAAGCAAGAAATAGATATGAAAATTACGGTAACCTTCATTTGTATGAGATGTTTTTGCGCTCATTTAGCCAGCGCTTTCATTTCGTGGGGTTCCTGTGTTACGCGTGTAAGATGAAAGGTATTGATACACTAGCGATGTTTGCGTCACATAGACCACGTGCAACTTTGCTGGCGACAATGTCACACGCACCAACCTTTCTGGCAACTATGAAAAGAGGAAAGCTCGTCTAAATAGACCTTTTTCAAGATGCGCGAACGCTGTTAAAAGTATGGCGTGCTCAGATTAGAAAACGAGGCATTTTCGGGCAAGAATATAACGCGCGCTACGGAAAACACATACAAAACTTTGAAAAGTATTTTTTTCTATGAAATGTGATCGTCCGGGTGGTGTAGTCTTGATAAAGACTGTTGTTGGTGGTGACTGACATTTCGACAACCTGAGCGGAAGTCATCTTCAGAATCCAGTGAGAAAATGAGAAGTATGTTAACGAAGGAATACCTTAAAGTTTCCTTTAGTTGGGGAGCAAGATAATATCTTTTTGAAATAAAATAAATAGCTCACTTCAGACAAAATCTTTTCTTCAAGGGTTTTAGAAATCACCTTTAACTCAATGGTTTCTTATCACACTGACTGAAAATTCCTCCTTTTAATGTCTGCGCTCGCGCATCTCGGAAATCATCTATTTGAACAGCAGTACAAGTCGCATTTCATTGGCTGAAAACATCACGCCATTGCTCACTTTGAAACTTGGTGCGCGCGGTGCGGGCGGATCTGCAGAAGCAGATCTTTAAACATCGAGGAAACATGCGCGCGGTAAACAAGTTTCTGGAAACATGTTTTCTTGTTTAGCCAGGGCCTAAATTTGAAATTATAGTAAATTTGATTTAAGTAAATTTGAAAATATAACTCTCCCATATCCCTGACTCCTCTCCCAGCCTAAGTTCATGTTTATTACTAATAATCTCTAAGAAACCTTTCTCTTGATACAGGTATCCATAGCAACGGCAACTATATCCCAAAAATTAAGTCATATGCTAGCCATCCGAGAAATTTCCTATTTAATCGGGAAGAAACCCAATATTTTGTATTGATGATGGAATATTTATTTGTGTGTGTGGAGAGAGTATGTGTTTTTTACGTATTAAAATTCTTGTATTGTTTTCCTTTTTTAAGATTACCGCCGTTCGTGTAAAAAGATTTCTAACACTATAGCAATACCAAGAAAACAAAACAAAGCAAACTAAAAACTTCAAATGCAAATACACTTTTTTTCGTGGTACAGTATTCATTCAAATACGTCATAATGTGCGACATGTTTTTGTCTTTTTAATCTTTGAATATCAACACGAGACTTACCAAAGAATAGTTCATTGTTTACATTTATAAAGAATTGCTTACCCTTCAAATACGACTGTCTTACCATCCACCAATACTGGTACTTCATGGTGGGGGTTTAATGCAGTAAAATTATCACTTTTGTGTTCACCTTCAAGCACGTCCACATCTGATATTTCCACTGGCAACTTATTCTACGCAAAACAATTCAAAATAAATATAGAAAAAGGCTTATTTGTAAGCTCTAAATATCCCAATATCTACTGGCTAAGGTTCCAGTAGCTAGCGTAGAATTTTTAAAAGTAAAAAGAAATTTTTCCAAATCTAATGGTTTTCTTTAAGTGACGTTCCGTGGTCATTCAGGGTGCAAAAGTAAACACCACCGTATCAATGATATGTTAAATGCGACCCTGTATTAGTGATTCATGTCTGTTTTTCTCACACTTAACTCCGGGTTATCAAAACGTTTTCCTATTTAAATCTTTAAAGTTAGAAATAAAGTACTGGTCTCATATAGGAATATTGATATGTGAATAATCGTAAATGTACATGTGATTGTCTGTTAGCGACTTCGTCCATAGCGACCGGTAACTGGCTGATGAGGTCCTTTGAATAAAAACTTAAAAACTTTGTCTGTTGAATATATTTTAGACGGAAAATTAAAAGCTTTTAAGACGTGAACAGACTGTTCTATTTCTTAGACAAAGTATCGAACTTTATTACAAAAAAATATATATAAAAAGGAAAATGAATCTTGTACACTTACTTGCAGTAGGTAGAGCCATACTATACGACAACATGGCGAAATCCTCACCAAGTACAGTTTGAATTGGTTTTGCTTGGCTGATTCTTTCTCTGTCGACATACTTATCGGATTCTACTGCCATACGCCTGACCTACCTGGTCTAAAAGTTATTATAATCTTAAGGTTCGTTTATTCCATGTTGTAAACCTTGATTCTCTTCACCAAGAAGCGGAAACAGCCGACTGCCTGTGCATTTTGCGCAAAAGCTGGGTCAACGTGACGTCATGCGTGTCAACATCACACGTGGTGGACTGTCTTGTATCTGTAAGATGCCAAATATCAATGGTAGCAACTCACCCGGGACGTCTTACTATAGTTAAGTCAACTTACGTATTCATTATAAAATATTGGGGGGAAGATGAGGTCTTCCCAAAATCCAAACTTTTCATGTTTCCCATGGTCCCTTTTCCCTGCCCCCTACATACACCACAGAATCTCTTACTCCCTTTCCATCCCATTTTTAGTTTGCTTTTAGTGTCATCTCGTACCTTACTTCCCCCGCACCCCCATCACACCACCAAAAAGTAACGGTGATTAGGCTGCCTGTGATTTAGGGACTCAGTTGCGGTTGGGTTACCTGTGGTCACCATAACGAGGTTTTAGTTTAGTAACCAAGTGTTGGTACATAGCAACCAACAAGATCCAAGATGGTGGACATCCGAAGTCAAACTTGAAAACTCCAGTCACAAAAAGTCAAATTTTATCTCAATATTTTTATTCTATAAATATGTCACATACGAAATTGCCACCTTTACCACTGTAAGTATCTCAATTCATAGTTTCTATGCAGAAAAATTGGAATAGAACATTTTAAATAATGATTTTTTTGTCGTTTGTTTTGGTATGAGCAGCGTAAGTTGAGCAGCAAACTTAACATCTAGGCTTTCAAAGTATATTAAAATTTCAAGCTTTTTTTTCCAAATAACTATTTTTTGAAATTCTGATAGCATCCGTGTTTCTTTTTCTATTCTTTCTAGTACTTTTTACACGGTTTTCTTGAGCAAATAACGCGTAATTTTTTTGATTCTATTTTTTTTTTCATACTAGTATTTATATTCAATTTTCAGTTCCTTATCAAATTCAGCTCGCAATTCCTCACCCAGACACTATGATGGTTTGAATGGGCCAAGTTATTCATTGACGTCAGTTGGTGGTGCTCAGAAGTATGCCCTTCCTCCATCAGCTGTTCTTCAGGTTAGTATGTAATATAATAACTAAGATATAACGCGCACTCTGATTGGTCAGTTACCATTTCATATAACTCAACATAGCTCATGAGGAAATGATGTCAGCAATGCAAGCAATTTTTTTATATTATATCTTTTCAGTTAATCGTTAGTCATATCTTAGTTATTTTATAAAAGAGATAGAAAACTCACCTTGCTTGTGCTATGTTGAGTTATACAAGCACTTGGGAAATTGCGTGAGCCCTCAAGAAGTGCCCATGGACTCACGCAATTTCTTGCGTGCTTGTATAACTCAACATAGCACGCACGCTCGTTTTCTATCTCTTAAATATAGAGTACCTGTCGTGTAACACAAGAAAGCAATAGATGGAAATATAAGGTTAAAGTGTTAAAGTTAAGGAAACCCAACAATAATATTCTGACTCTTGCTCTTAGAAGATGTTGATGGGATTAACCAATGCTTGGAATATTATCAATGGGGTTCTTAAATAGTAGAATTTACCTTTCCACTTTACAACACTGGGCCATAGTCACCATTTTGGGTAGGGGTACAGGTTTTTTAAAAAAATTGGTCTGGTTTGCTCATTTACTTTAGTAGTAAAATATATTTTACAAGGGGAAATATATTCTGAAGTTAAAATGTGGTCCAGTTAAATTCAGGCCAACTAGTGTACTAGAGGCTATGGTCCTGTAACAAAATATAACATCCTGCCTTCCCTATCTCTCCTTTGCTTCATCATTATGTAACCATTCCAAACCAAAAGCACTTAATCCCCTCCCCCCCCCCCCCCCCCCCCCCCCCCCCCCCCCCCCCCCCCCCCCCCAGGAGAAAGGCATCTCAACAGGGTTTTTGTATTTGGAAGTGGGACTTAACATGTCTTATCTTCCTCCCTGTACA